ACGACCCGTGCCGCGTAGCAGATGAAACAGTCTTTGACTATTTCTTGATGCAAAAGCTACCTTCATCTCACGAGCTATTTGGGCCAACTAATTGACGTAATCTTCTTTAAGGCTTTTCCTGAGTTGACGTTGCAGGCGACACCGATCCCTATGCTGATCCCGGCAGATTGTGATCTTTCGCTTTTGATCCATCAGTATTACTGACTCCTAAGAGATCCAGTGACTTCGGGCTCAGTCCCACAAGTAAAGTTGGCTGCTGCGTGCATCGCAAATCTAATCTGATTCCACCGTTGGTCTGCTCCACTATATCGTACTCCTCCTAGATGAAACAGTCTTTGACTATTTCTTGATGCAAAAGCTACCTTCATCTCACGAGCTATTTGGGCCAACTAATTGACGTAATCTTCTTTAAGGCTTTTCCTGAGTTGACGTTGCAGGCGACACCGATCCCTATGCTGATCCCGGCAGATTGTGATCTTTCGCTTTTGATCCATCAGTATTACTGACTCCTAAGAGATCCAGTGACTTCGGGCTCAGTCCCACAAGTAAAGTTGGCTGCTGCGTGCATCGCAAATCTAATCTGATTCCACCGTTGGTCTGCTCCACTATATCGTACTCCTCCTAGCTCCTGTCCCAGCTTCTCTTCATAACGTGCACCGAAAGCTAGATCGCGCAGACAATAATGGGCTAACTGAGGAGGCGATTTCTGCTGATGAGTCGAAAAGTGAAGCTTATCAGAACTAGTGCATGGTCCGATTCAACGCATATGGTCCAATAGGATCTGCAGTTTTGTACAGAACTACGCCGCCGGTAGCTTATAGCTATGTGGTCCATTTTCCCGTTGAACCAAAACATCATGTAGCCGTTCGATGAGAGCTGTGTTGAAAGTTGGTGCTAAATAAGAACAACTGACGATCCGCGAAGAACTGAAGTAATCAATCATCAGTGTCCGTTCGCCGGGTGGGGTTAAGCAGAGCTGAATGCTACCAGGCGCGTCCCCGGGTTGTGGATAGGGAGAAACCTTCACAGAAGAAGGTTAGCTGCGAATAAGTTGTGGTATACCGAAGCAAACAAGCAGTCGCGAACAAACAGTGGCGGCACTACCAGGGTGTGATGGGTTTCAGGCTGGTCAACTGGCTCCTGTTTAAAAGCCTAACTTATCGGGGCCCCATGTAGTTTACCGTTCCAAGTCCCAGGGCTTAGATTGCCGGTTTCCATCAATGAACAGCAGGTCCTCTTGACTATGGGTTTTATCCCGCCTGCTGTTCATCACACGAAAGTATGTAATAAAAATGCTGCATAAGCCCGATGACGATGTCGTGGCAAAGATCGATGTGACTGGCCTTTTAAAACTAAAAGCATTGATCCCCTCACTTCCGAGGCGAGGGCTTCCTGCTGCCTTGCAGTTCGCACTTGTTTGTACAAAGGCTAGAGGTGCGCCCGCAAAATAAAAACGCCTTGTGACGTTGGGGACGTCTCTCGTATCAAACTCCCAAGTAACTTCATGATCATGTCTTCTACGGCGTCAATCATACATTCATGGAGCCGGCTTAAGAGTGAAGTGTCCTCCTAGACAAGCTTCGGATGCGCTTAATTGTCCAACCTGCGCATTAAAATCACTTGCCACCACTACGATATCTTAGCCGTGGCTCAACCGAGTGAGTTCGGCGAGTTTGTCGTAAATCTCGTCCTTTTGTTAAGTGGCACTGCAGTTGGTTGGTGCATATGCGGAAGTAATGAACAAACACCTTTTGGTGTTGATGCCCTTCCGAACACTAACTGAACCCTGGAGCCTCATTGCACACAAACGACCGTTGACGGGTATCCAGTCTGTCATCAAGGCTTCAGCTTTATCGTTTAGTACGATCCCTACACCACGCTTACCCAGTAAGCAGGCTTCGTCGTCTCCTGATGTGCAAAGGAAACGCCTCGAGGATAGACCTGGCGCACTCAGGTGGCTGATAATACCAGGATCCTGAATTCGTGTTTCCGATACGCAACAGAGATCGCTTTCTAGAGCCTTCATTGTACGCGCATGACATGCCTGTTGACCCATCTGCATAAGGGTCCCCACGTTGACAGCCCCCAGATTGAGAGGTTGATGCGTCTTCAGAATCTGCAATTTATTTGCAGGAAAACCAGTGACAGTGCTATTTGGCAACCACCTTTGGCGAGAGACGACCAAGTTGTCGGAGAGAATGTTACGGGTTGGATACGGAAGACAAAGAGTTAAACAAAGGTTGGGATATCTGAGCAGTAGTGCACTTGTCACTACCCACCCCGCTCGATGCAACGGGCAGCGCGGTCCTGATTATCCTGCGCGATGACGGATGCAGTATGAAATTATTTTTAGTTTTTGTGTTCATTGTAGCTTTATGGACGGGTACTTTCAGGGTATCCAGCCACTAAGCAGGAGAACGATTAGGGTTCTCAACCAAAGCCTTTAGTTCTGACAAGAACCTGTCCACAAAGCAGCGGTTAAGGCGGATTGGAGGCCCATTTACTTGGATCTGTTACTCCCCCAACACGTTTTACTGACTTAAGTGCCAACTCAAGTTGAATCCCCAACCTGGAGGACCAGGAGGTTGGATTTTGTCTGACCCTTACACAGTGACCTTGCAGGCATGATTAGATCTTTGGTTCGACAAAAGTCATCCTGTGTAGCTCGTTGGGTCAGGGGGTGCACAAGCCATCACACCACTTCAAGGCGCAGTCTCGTCGCAACCCCCACCGCACTGAGGCTTGCGGAAGCAACTACCAAGGCGATCGTTCACCCTTCCGCGACTTATTCGGGTGGTGGTGGCGCAGTGGTTTAGTCGTCACCGGCGTACTTTGGACCCTATGGTCCGTCGGGATCATACTCCGTCGATTGTCTGCCGCACGTGAAGAGCGTGAGCGTGGAAATCAGACTGGCTTTGAACCTGGTCAAGGTCGCATCGGTCACATCATCACTCTTCGCCAAATTCTGGAAAACCGGGCATTCTTTTCGTAGGTTCACCATCTCTTTCTTCTGCGATCTGAAAAAGATTGGAGTAGAGAGGTACGACACCTGGGAACAGAAACCTGTTAAGTGAAGATCTGGGTAAGTTGCAAGCTTTTCTGGGTAGTTTGAGTGCTAGCGTAGCCATGTTCGGTATGCGTTTTGCACCTTCAAAGTGTAAAATGTTACTACTAGAGGTTAGGTGCAGGGATTTAGGTAACCACCGGAGGAAGTTTTTGACCTCCATAGATTGATTACTCTGGCTGGGGCATATGTTACGCATATCGCCAAATAGGTTGTCGCGGTGTACCATGCTTTCCGAGGTGGGTATTAATTGTAAAAAGCCAATGATGGCCAAAATAAGACCTGACGCGAGGGTGAGAACCTTAACCAGACAACCCGGTCATATAGGTCGCTTTTAGCTCCCTGGATGGGTACTTCGCAATCATTCTACTCGCCTCCAAAATCCTTAGCATGGTCGGGAGTGGGTGTCTACAGTTGCGGCTGGTCATCCGTTCCTTGCACCTCGCGAAATGCTCCGTACGACCAAGCGTCTCAAACAGCCTCTGTCAAGGAAGCCCTACTCACTGCATTCTCGTGGCGGAGGTGTTTTTGCACCAAAGTGAGAGGACGAAAAGCCGACATCCGGGGCTATAATCGGGTTGGTGGACCACTGGCAGTTCACCTAGGGGAGTTGGCCAAAAACCCTGATTCTAAACCAACCAAGAGGAGGCGTACGAACCACACCCACACCTTTCCGGTTGGGGCAGTGGTCACCGGCTCGATTGAGGATCGAGGTGTATTGGGTACGTCGAACGTTTGACTCCGTCCGAAGGGCGTATGATCCGATGAACTGGACACCGGCTCCCAATGGATTACAGTTTTCGCACACCGCCCTACTGCCTTGCGGGTTAAGCTGTGGCCAGCCAAAGGCTCCTCAAGGGAATTCACCTGCCTTGGCCATGACAACTTGGCAGTATTCGGCCCACTTGCAAATCGTGGAACGTTTTTCTTTTTATAAAGCTTATTTTACCATGATTTGTTTGGCACAATCGCCCGTGAAATATAATATAATCATTGTACTCAATGGCTAAAGACAGTCTCATCACGAGAAGATGATTGGTGAAATTTCCCAACATTTTACTGTGAACATTTCTGTCGAAATCTTTAATGACGAAGTCCGTCCACCATAAGAAGGCGTTTTGGCAGTGTGATGAGTGGGGTGATTGAGCGACTTGTTCAGAACTTCGGTAAGTAAGACTTGAATTGCACCTTCGTCGTCAACTCACAGTGCACACAGAGGAAACTTTGGAAAGCGATCTGGGCAGTCGGTTGTTGACTAAGTGAACTCATGTAAAGACAGATCCTTGGCTTGGGTTCGATACGTGTGGTGAAACTGGGTTTTGGTGGTGGCGCAGAAGGGTCAGTCGTTGTCACCGGCGTGCTTTGATCTGAGGTTCGAGCGCTGCTACCCAACTTTGGTGGTAGGCAGCTCTGCTGTCATCTGGTTCACTACCACGTCTAACCCAGCCGGACCTTATGTGGTTCGATACTTAAAGTCCCAGGGCTTAGTCTACCGGTTACCAACACTGAACAACAGGTCGTCGTTACTACGGGGCTTTCCCCATCTGTCGTTCATCCCAGTAATTTGATTAATGAAAAAAAAACCATGGGGTAACAAACAAAATCATTGCAACCCATTGTCTTTTTAGTGTTGGTAAAGAAGAATTATGTGTTGAACTGATTCCATTGTCCCAATTTGAGGTTTGATTTCAACAGTTAATTTGGAAATACGATCTTCTAAACCGGAGCGGAATTTTTCTATTTGCAGCTTGTGTCATGGCTTCGGTCGTAACGCAACAACCACTTTCAGACATCCTGAAGCAGGAACCGCAACAATGGGATGATTCCCGACCAGAATTCTGTTCCACACCGCGGTCACGCGCGCACCACAGTCTTTGCCTGCATCGTGTGGATTCAGTCAATCATACGTCAGGTGATGAAGAAACTTCAACCAAACCAATCCCTTACACACCGAAACTGCGACAAACCCAACTGAATTTGTCCGTCTTTCGGGATGACGAATCCACAGTGGCTATGGTCGGTGAATTAAATTTCAACTACACTGTACAACCGGATGACAAAAACATTTCAGTCGCTTATAAAACATCCGATGAAATCGAATATAATCCACTCCTTGAATCAATTGATCACCATGACAGTTCACGTGTGATGAAGCAAACAGTTCTCACCAGCGATTTATCGTTGACTGATCATCCTGTAGCGAAAGAAACTACCAGGCGACAAAAGAAACCAGCAGCAGAGAAGAAGTAAGGTTCGGTTTTGTCTGTATCCTCCTGTATGATTGCTTGATTTTGTCGTGTATTATCATTATTATTCAAAAACCATAATTGAGTGATTAGGCTTATATACAACACGCTGGTGCGTAGAGCATGGTATGCCATAACTGGATGTGGATCTCTTGTGTGCGACCAAACTGTCTTTGAAGTATCCAAACAAGGGAGTGATAGTTTGTTCTCGGAGCCTCGGATTAATCTAAATCAGAAATCTCATAAATATCGGGAACTAATGCTAATGGTTCACAAACGATTTCTCAGCTCACGCGTGAAGACGGTCAGTAGATTTAACCTGTCTTCTCAGTCTTGATGTTCCCATGTTTCACTTTTGCTGTAATCCTTACATCTTTGCTAACTCTATAACCATCTGACGACCAGCAATTGGGATAAACTTGTGCTAAGTTGCGCGATGTTTCAACCCAACCGACTGGATTCTCACCTGGCTCCACATGTTTTAGTCTCTTTAAGGCAATTGGCTATCTCCTGATAAACCTTCTCGGGACTTGATTCGTCAGCATATAAAAGTTGGGTACACAATATTATGTAATCTTGGTTCGTGGTTATTACAATTAAAAAGGAAATTGAAAGTGAGATAGGGGGCAGTATTGTTGCGTGAAATATCCTGGCATTTCCATTTGTATTGCAGATTTTTTGCAAGTCACACAGAATCATTCAGACAAAAAGGAAGTGACCTGTGCATTACTGACTACGAAGGACAAAAACGGGACATTGAGAGAGTAAACATGTAATTAACTGCCAACTGCATTGGAAGGCTGAGAACAAATGCTTTCCTTTTCTGTCGTTGTCCGAGTAACATGGTATACCAAAGAGTGTCTGTAGGCAACTATACGAAATGCCATTGGTGTTATATTTGAAAAGGGGAAAATGGGTGAGATTTGCATACACACAGATCAGTGAACTTCAAGTATGCAATAATCAGTCTATCAGAGATGTTCTCGATCGTAACAGATATTAGAACTCGGGACACGCGGCTGATTATTGTGAGGCCTCACCGGAGCAGCTTGAATTCGATCTTCATCAACCCTGGGAGGATCATAGGTGGGGCGGGGCTGGGGCACTAATAAAAGGGTATAATGGTGACACATTGTTGGACAAGTTCTGTAACTCCATTTGGGTATGCTCTTTGCACAAGCCTGGGTGTCATTCACCCTGGCGCTGATGTACTTCAGTTTTTCGGTTTGCACAACCATTAACCATGCACTGTAGTGCGCCGGTTTTGGTTGCTATCTTTCGGCTGCCCATTTGGATGAACATTTGGAGAAAGACAGGAAAGGTTGAGAGTATAGGATCGAAGAGAAAATTGCAAAGTTCAGTGGGTTAGTGATACGGAGAAATTGAGAAAATGCATGAACGCCATTGTTTGCGACACCCAGCCGTATGATTCACTGCCCCTAACCATCGGATACGATCATCCCGAGGTCCCCGTCCAGGGAGCCTAACGGTACTTGTGTGACTTAAATTCATGGATAGGGCCGTACTGTCGCCCCATACACTCGACCCTTCACGGACAGCCGGATGTAGCGACGGCGCCACAGATGTCTCAAGTTGACAAATGCCCATCGAGCCTTCTGTATGCGAGCTGACACTTCATCCGTGATGCGTCCACCGGGTGAAATGTAGCTGCCCAGGCACAGTAGCAAAGCTTAACATGGGATGGTTTCAGCGGGCTTCACGTCCCTGTTGGTGAAAAAGTGTTGGGAGCTATGGTAGGTAGATTGTCGAGCATGCGAACAGCGCACTGGCAGTGACTCGTGGTTCTTCATGCAGCNTCATGCAGCGGCGAGGTTATCGCTCTCATTCGCACGATGAAGGGGATTGCCACTGCTCAATCGTAAAAGTTGACTACGGCTGTTCATGCGCTTGGTAGCGTATCGATTGGTTTGCTGTTTTCCAGCACGACTGGCCTGAATGATTACCAAACTCACTTTGATGTTTTCGGGCCAAGTATTCATATCTGATATTGATTATTTAGGTCGGTCCACCTCAATCATTCAAAGGAAGAGTAATGCTTGTTCTCTGACTGCATGAGATACCTCTTCTGCTATTTATTGAATCACTGGAGTACTCAGATTGATGAGAATGCTTGTGGTGATAACACCGACCATCGCTTGATAGGAGAAAGATGGGAAAGTTAAAAGTAGAGTGGAAGAGAAAAGGGAGCATTTCAGTAGATTAAAATTGCGAAGAAATTGATGCACGTACGCCACTCTTTACGACAGTCGTCTCACTCAGTTTCTCTAACCATCGGTTAGGATCATCCCGGGGTCCCCATCCAGGCAGCGTAGCGCGATCTGTATGACCGATTCTCCTTTTTAGGGTTTTCATACCCGCGTAAAAGGTCTTTTTTTGACTACCCTTGACTTGGAAGAATGATCGTGCAAGTGTGTCGTATTACCTACCCCTATGATCTTATAATTGTCTCCATTTACACCGTATCGCAGTTTGCATTCACCAAGTTGAGATATTCCGTTTGAGATTAGTGTTAGGAAGATGAAAGGGTGAGCAGTATGTATCCACCCGCGCACACCGTTTCTTATCACGCGGTTCTTGTGCCGTTGTGACGCACAACTGTTCGGGATTCACCGGGTCTGTAAGAACAAATTTTCGAATATCCAATTTCAGTCACTCATACTATCTGATTCTATTGTTCAGCCCACTTGCGTGTTATCAGTGCCTTCAATTTGTCGCTTGCCAATTCATTTCGCTCTCTCTCCTCGTTCGGCATCACGAGATTGAGAATCCGTTGCGTGGAGGGGGTAAGGAACTTATTGCTGTGCAAAATACTTTGCGTAATACAACCTTCTGCCGACGCACTCATTAGCCGATTGTTTCATCTACAACATCTCAGCAGAGGTGTGGAATTCTTCTGTCTAATTGTTATCATCTCTAAGATCTGTAGTAGAACTTTTCCGTGGTTTGGAACAGTGATTTTATCACCGTAATCGAACTAGTTCGGATCGAATGATACCATTGATTGCCCTAATGCATTCCGTATTCGAAGATGAATACGGTCAAACAATTATTTATCACACGATTTCACTTTTTCTTGCAAGTCTTTGGTTCGCCGAGTTGTGCGTAATTCCATGTGACAGATTGGACCACTGTGATTGTCNCATGGTTTCACTGAATGAACAGCCCTGGATGATCAACGGCGATGTTAGAAACAGTGACGTTCATGCATCTTCTCAATTTCTTTGTAACCCTAGACCACTGAAATTCTCTATCTTCTGTTCGACTCTATTTTCATCCTCCCTGTCTTTCCATTGTTCATCCAAATGAGCAACCAAAACCGCCGCACGAAGGTACATGATTAATAGTTGTACAAGCTGAAAACTGATCTGAACTGATGTTTAAAAAGGTGACTAGATTTCATCTATGCAAAATAAATCTCCCAAATCTACCTAAAGCAATTGAATCTGTCCCGCCAACGAATTCGGCCATCATCGCCACCATCCCGATGCTCTGTAGATCGCTCTTTGCTGTATAAAACATAAATGTGTGTTCTACGGGGGTAAATCCTAGGGGGTCTGGTGATGCCATTTTTTACGATTTCCTCAACATTTTGCACGTATTCGTTCATAAACCCGGTTTACGCTCACATGAGAGAAAGGTGCCTCAAATTAAAACCGAGTTTTTGCTTTGTTTCGTGAATGATCATGCACGTTTTGGTTCTGATTCAAAAACATCACCCTTGCACAGTTCTCTAATGCAGCCAAGGATGCTGGTCTACACGTAATGATTACTCCCTATAACAATGAAACCAAAATGTTATTTCCTACGAATATCTGTACGTAACAATTGAACCTCCAGCATTCATTTGTCATTTTCCTTCTACGCTTTACTCCAACCCTCTACACATTTACTCCTCTAGGAGTCAACGCGGTGCACGTAATCGTAGCGTTGAATCCCGTGCGTCGGGCACACTACTTCCGGTCGTTCGTCCACGCCCACGTGTGAAGGCGGTCTCGTTGAGTCCGAAAAAGGGACCCGTTCCTGTCACAACTGAACCGGATGAGAAGCCTGAAAGGAGAACGAAACGTCAGACCCAATTGACCACCTACGGGATTCGTCGCACTGCTCGCCAGTTTCACAAAGATCAAGAGGTATGTGCTCACGTGTTTCTTTGTTTCTGTCCTTCCCCCCTCCCCCACCCCCCACAAACCTTTCGTCGGTAAATTTACCCATAAGAGAGAACAGATTGGGCAAACTAATATCCATTTTCGGTTCGCAGTACGTGAATTCAATATCCTGATCATGAACGTGGACTCATACGCGAATTTTTCTCTCTACCTATTGGTACTGTGTTGTTTTTCGGAAAATCAAAGTCAGAGATTTATTATGGGAAATACTTACAAGCGATTGCTTTTCTAGGATTTGGCACAGATGAATCGGTTCACAGTTTTCATACAAAGTAGATGAATGTCACAATTTGTCCTTTTTTCGTGCGCTTCTGCGGATATTGAAACTTAAGACTTTTCAAAGCTTCATCCAGTTTGTGCTTAAATGAATCAATTGCGGGCGCAGAAACAACGTGTGGTAGTAGAGAATTCCAAGTAGTGCATAATCTGAGAGCGAATGAATGATGCCGACATTCTAGTCGGCAATTTTGGAGCACTAGTTTGAAAGAGTGCCCTCGCAAGTGAGTGTTTGGTGACAAGGAAAAGATTGGACGACATGGATGGTCTGGGTTCCGCATTATTTCGTATGCCAAGATCAGGTCTCCTCGAATGCGGCGATACTGTTCAGACACTAAAAGCCGCAGCTCGTCTCAATCCGCACCGTTTCTGACCGCATACTGTACATAATGCCTCCCCAAAATTCACTGCTAACCTCGTCAGTCCTCCGTTTACTCAACTGATACTGTGACCAAATGTTATGTTATACTCATCAATACCATTGGCTTACGCTAGGGGGGGGGGAGCAGTAGGCACAAAGTGCAACACACACGCAACTAACCTTACTCACGATTTATCATAACACTCAATCGAATTCTTTAGTTCTATTTGTCCAATTACTTTGCATCAGCTCTTTTGATGAAAATTACCGTTCAAATTATCCATTCTCCTCACTCTCTTTCTCCGTGTGTCTTGCCCCCCGCCCCAGCGGCTACGTGAGGCGAATGTCCTACTGTATCTGAGGGACAAGGTTGAAACCGGCATGAAGGTGAGCGGTTTTTCGATGCACCATCACTGTGTTGAACAAGAATGAATTTGTGCATACCTCCACGCTTACTGTTTCAGACGGTACGTGTCGGCTCCACTTAGGGTGGTGGCAATTTTGTCGGAGTCAGCCTGTAAAAAAACCTGGCAGGCAATCCGAATTTATTCGTATTTTTAGAGTTATCGTGCTCTAGTGTGTGCGTGTGTGATCATACAAACATCTTATCAGATTCCTTCAGTTGAGTTGAACTTTTCTACAATCATTAATAATATAGTGTCATGCACCGATTTTGTTGCTATCTCGATTTCCCATTTCGATGAAAGAGTTAACGGGTAGATTGGAATGTTCAGATCGATATCAGAGTTGCTGTTCTTTGGCTGCCCATTTGGACAAAAAGGAAGGTTAAAGAGTGGAATGTTGAAAGCCAATTCAAGCACAAGATAGAGAATGTAGCCTGGTGTTAAGAGAATAATCTGCGGATGCATGAGCGTCACTGTATGCGACACTAAACTATATCACTCAGTATCTCTAATCATTGATTGCATTGATCCCGGGGTTCTCATTCGCCATGTCCACTGCGGCTTATGTAAGGAAATTTCCTGTTTAAGGATTTCCTACCCTCATGCCAGGTTTGAGTTTGACCACTTTAATTTTTGCCATCCACTACCTGCCTCGGTAAACGGCGGTTTTCAAACACCAACAGCATATCATCATACGCTATTACTTCCTCAGTAAGAATGAGGCGAGGGCTTCACCCAACCAGTCGTGTAGCAACACTTTACAATTTGGAGTTGAAAAACTCATGCCGAACATAGTTACACTAGCACTCCAACTATCCAGAAACGCTTTCAACTTACCTGAATCTCCACCTATCAGTACGATATCGTATGCATGCTCCAGATCAGGCAGTCCACCACCTGCGAGTAAATCGTCGCACGAGGACAGGGATGTTTCCAGAATTATGGAAGTTAAATTGAC